AAGAGGGCGTCCTGCCCTCCTTTCACACTCATAAAATACATTACTCTCCCACAGTCTAAATAGAAGCTAGCCTGGGCCCTGGATGAGCCAGCGTGCCAGAATTCACTTCAGCCTGAGTCAACAGAGTGAGCAGCAAGGTGATTGCTAGGCCCCGAAGTTCCTCAGGCGCTGTCACAATAACAGGTTAACTGAAACAGTGCCCAGCCTTTCCTACTCACCTGGGACAGGCTATTCACAAATGAGCTGATAATGAAGCTAGCCAATTTCTGACAAAAGCTACCAGCAGATTTATGACTCTTCCTGACTCCCATCCCCTGACAGCTCACACAGGGAGGGAGGGGCGGGCTCTGGGGCTGTGGGTGCAGCGGGGGCAGTATTCCCACCCAGAGCTTCCCTCCAGGGAGCAGATCACTGCGTGCAGAGAGATTACAATTATTTAAGAGCATCTGGGGAAGGACTCTCCATGTCCACGTCCTGACAGTGACGACATGCCATTCCACTGGCATACCCATCCGCATGTACTCCAGCAATCTTTCATCCTACCATGCTTAGCAAATTAAACTGTCACTACTACAGAGGCGCTAACTACTAAAACGGTGGTCACGGGCTTCCAAGAGCAGCTCATACCTTCCCAGCCTTGATGGCAGGCAGGAGAGCTCCTCCAAGGAAAGCAAACACACTGTACTGCCAACTTGGTGATTCCTGACCCCAGCGCCCCAGGCAGCCCTCCCACCTGCCTGATAAAGATGGTACTGGGGTGACTGAAAACTATTTCTAACTCTGGAGCCCATGGTAGGGAGGTAGGGTGGTTCTTTTGTTCATTCCTTCATTGGTTTGTTAATTTCTTCTCATTCACAAACAAAATAGTGCTATTTATTATAAACTAAACATGGTTTGGACACTAAAAATTAACATTTTTATTTTTAAAAAATTATATTCCTTTATTTTTGTGCTATTGGGGATTAATCCCAGAGTCTCAGTGCTGAGCTACATCCCCAGCCCTTTTAATTTTTTATCTTTTACTTTTGCTAAGCTGGCTAAAGTTATTCAGGTCAAGCCTGAACTTCCAATTCTCCTGCCTCCACCTCTCAAGTGCTGGGATTATAGGTGTGTACCATCATGCCTACCTTAAAAAAAAAAAAAATCAGGAAAAAAACCTTTTTAAATCACCTACCAAATGGGAGTGCTGTGTAAACGAGATGTCACAGGCAGCATGCAACTTACACAAGAGCTTCTTATTTCAAAGCTGCCTTCTCCCTGCCTTGATGATACTAGTCAGCCTGGCTTGCACGCTGGACCTTGACAGTCTGCAACCCAACAAGAGCATCTAGAGGAAGCCCAAGTGTACCAACCAGAAAATACCTTTCAGTAAGGTAAGGCCTGGCTAGAATTCCATCTTTGGCTCTCCCAGCCATGTGCTACCTGGCAAATTACTTAGCCCCCTGAAGTCTCTGTACCCTCCCCTAACAGTGATATGACATTTGTGTAGCACTCAGTAGCAAGCTGGCCCCGGGAGACAGCAATGCTGGCACACACTTGACCTCGTCACGCTGTCAAGTACACACGCGAGAGCCTCAGGCATGCTTACCTCTGAAAACAAACCACCCGTTTAGGATCATGACTGCTTGAAGTCTCACCTTTAGTCAACATTTATGATAGACATCCATCTAATGCCATTTAAGTATAGCACCAGTTTTTCCACAGCCATTTGTAATTATTTCAATGGCCCATTGTCCATCACCCATAGGTCTTGAACCATAACTTCCGCACTCATTCTGCCATCAGCGTTTAAAATGTTCTCCACACCCGTTCTTGCTGTGTCCATCTTTCCTATCTCACCTAACCTTGGAAAGGCCTTGCCCTCAACTCCATCTCCACATCATCTGTGCTTCTCTGCCTCCCATCACTGCATACCACCCCTGACCACTGTGAACTAATTATGCATACTCGTCCCCCCCCCCCCAACCAAGGATTGAACTCAGGCCCTTGCGCTTGCCAGGGATGCGCTTATTCCACTGAGCCATCTCCCTGGCCCTTATGCGTACATTTTGACTCTGTGGTTCTCTACTAACCAAATCCAAGCTTTACTTTATCTGAATTGCTCCTAAGCTTCGTGCAGTTTCTCTCCCCTACTGTGCTGTAATCTCATGGTGGGAAGCACATATTTTACACTTGGTGTCTCCTTCCATGCAATGTATACTAAATAGTGCACAAATGTCTTGATAGTTACTGATCTACACCCCTTGCCAGTCTTTGTTTTTAGACAAGGTCTTGCCATATGTTCAGGTCAGCCTTGAGCTCACTATGTAGCCCAGGTTGCTCTGACCTGGTGGGGATCCCACTGCCTCAGTCTCCCAAGCACTGGGTTTACAGATTTGTGCCATGATGCCCAGCTCTTTTTCCATTCATTCTTAAGGAGGCCTAAGAGGCAGAATCGGCCAATTATAGACAGAGATATTCTCAGGGAACTTGGTTGAACGCTTCATATACAATATGCTTTCTGAGTAAGATTCTGCTTAGATTAAGGAAAAAAGGAAGGGCCAGCCCCATAGTTCAGGGGATTAAAGCACCTGCTTAGGCAGACACAGGGACCAGGGTGATCCTAGGCATACCATGCTGGCCCTGCCCCCAGTGGCATGCATCTGTAATCCTAGCGCTTGGGAGGCTGAAAACAGGAGGATCACTGAGTCTGATCTGTGTAGTAAGACCCTGCACTAAATACATTAAGAAAAAAAAAAAAAAAGGAAACCCTAATTTCTTTTTGGGATCTAAACTTTATATCTTCAGTATATTCTAGCAACAGTCTTCTTGGCTATTCTAATAGGAACCTATATGTAAATGATCCCACAGAAAAAATTAATCCAGCTCATTAACTTCAAGATATACCTCAATGGTCTTACCTCAGGCCAGTCTTTCAAAGGAAGCAGCACCTGTTGCCCAGTTAAGGCTAGCAGAAACTATCAAGCCACTACACTACATCCTGTGGAAAGGCACCAGAGACAGCCAAAAGGCATTAGTCCCTAAGCCAGGTATGGAGGCACGCACCTACAGCTGAATCCGGAGAATCCCCAGCAGGGGCCAATTTGGGAAACTTAGCAAGACCTTGTCTTATAATGAAAATTTTATTTTATTTTCACATTTTTCAAATGAACATTTTGAAAAAGGGCTTTGCCATAGCTCAGCAGCAGGATGCTTGCCTAGCCCAGATGAGGTGCTAGGTCTGATCTCAAGCACTGGAACAACCACAACAACAACAAGGTGTTGATGCCTGAGGTGGAGACTAGCCCTTCCCCACTCCTGTCCTCAGGCGCCAATAACCGTCATGGTTACGGTTCCTGTTACTTCTGTTTCCTGGAAATGGCTGCTCACTGTGATGCACACTGCAAGCCCCGACCTGACAAGCCATCTGCCTCTGTTCTTCCTGCTATCTCCTATGAGCCTAGGCCACCCGGATCAGAGCCTGACATTCTGGGAATGATCTGAATCAGGGCCCTTCAACATAAATAAATCTGCTTTCAAACCTTGGATGTCATTTCAGCGTTTTTGTTGCCACAGCAAAAGGACAAGACAACAACTCCTAGGTTTCTGATGTGGTATGTGAGCACAGTGTACTGGCCAGAAGAGAGACCCTAGCCCAAGAGCAGAGAGGCAGTGTGCCCGACAGCTAGCCAACAAGTGACGGGCAGCTTCCAGTCCAGAAAGCAGCTCAGCTACTAATGTGGCCTCCACCAACTTTCATCTTCTCATTAAACTCAGCTGCTTTATGTTTCCATTCTAGCAAGGCCTGCTTAGTTAGCCTCAGGCTGACTCATTTATCACCCACAACAGTCACACACTACAAAAGGAAAAACTTGAGAAACAGGAGCTTAGAAGAAAATCTTTTATTTATTAGTGTTAAGATGTGAAGTCTTTGCTCAATACAGGCAGTTTGCTGCCTTGCCAATTTACCTCTTATATCCTGTACAACACAACTGCACAAAATCCTCTGTAATAACCATACAACCAATCAATTCTCCACTCTCTTTTGACTACTAAAGAGTCCCTCTCATTACACCACATGGAGAGAGGACTCACCTCCCCAGTTTTTTTAAGTTGTACCATGATCCAGACTATATACTAACTACCAAACACAACAGCATCATTCTTACAACAGAGCTACTTGCCAGTCAAGCAACTTTTTCTGAAAAATTGAGGGCTGACGTCAGCATGAAGCAAAGACAGACTAAGGGTTTCTGTGCTCACAGGCAGGTTGCTGGCTGCGCTGTGTACCCCTCTCCTCAGAGAAGAATGCACAAGGATGCTGACAAGACAGCACATCAACCACCTGTGACTGCGAGCTCCCAGCGTCAGGGCTTTATTCCAGTGAGTGAAACAAACAACCAGAAACCACCACAGTTCAGCAATGATGCAAACCAGTAGAAAAGTCTCACAACACTAGCATTTAAAATCACTGTTAACAATTCTCATTATTCTTCTCAAAATATCACTTGGGCCATGTGGGTTGTGGGTGAAGAAGTGAACAGGCCATAACAAACAGAAAAGGAGAAATGCAAACAGGGTAAATGAACTGAAAGTCCAACAACAGTATTCAGCATGGAACAAATGAGTTTTGCCTTTTTACTCAAGGAAACTGTACATAGACAAAACAAAAACCCAAAGTAGGAACAAATTCCAATGTGTGTTGTTGGTGCTCTAATCTTTGTATGTATTCACACTGGAAACATGGCTGGTGATAGTTTGATCCTTTTTTTTTTTAATGTTAAAGGCCTTTCAACACCCAAACCAGAGCAGAGAGACAAGGAGTGCATCACAAATATGGTTATCAAGATATCCACAGGACAGAGGAAGGGAGAGGGACTCTGTGTTGTTGCTGGGAGAACTAAGCAGTCTTAAAGATTCACCTCTGGCAGCGGCAGTCAAGAGTCTATTTTCCCACAAAGGACAGCACAAATCCTAAGGCCCACCTCCTACCCCTTCTCCTCTTCTCCCAGAGCACCTACCTTACTGTAAGTCACTACTGATAAGTTGTTTGAGTGACTGCTGGGGGACAGATTTACAGAGTTCTGTGACAGTCCGTCCTGATCTTGCTTGGTTTGGTCAGGAGCAGGAGCCCATGTGTTTTTGCTGATCGAGTCGAACCCGGAACCCCCAGGGTCTTTTAAGTTGTTTTCATCTGATTGTCGGTTCTTTTGGGGAGGGGCAAATGGGTTGAAGTTTCCTTCTACCTTGCGATGCGGCTGTGTGTTGAACTCAGTTTCAAAAGATGACAGCTGCTGTGTTACTCCTAAAAGTCCACCCACCTCCACACTGAGAATCACCCAGATGACATCTGAAAGGAAAAGGATACTCCCGTCAATGCAGGCACTCTGAGACCACAGTGGTACCACAGGCCCAGAGCACCAAATTCCTAAGAAGAGAGCTGCTAGACCATTTTCTCTTTTTTAAGAAGTTCACTGACAATGTTGCAAAGAGCTTTTTTTTTTTTTTTTTTTTTTTGTGGTATTGGGGATTGAACTCAGGACCCTGAGCTTGCCAGGTAAGCACTTACTCTACTGAGCTATCTCTCCAGCCCTCTGCTAAGAGCATTTTTTATTGCATGCAGGTTCTTGTGCTTGCCAGGAAAGCACTTACTCTACTGAGCCATCTCCCTGCAATTCCCCTCTCCCCTCCTTTCTTTTTTGTGGAACCAGGGATTGAATTCAGGCCCTTGCACTTACCAGGGAAGCACTTACTCCACTGAGCCATCTCCCCAGCCCATAAAATCTGTGAAATTATTTGTAAAAAGCGTCCAATTGATTCTAATGCACAGATGTAGTTGGAAATCATCACTCCCAAGAATAATGATAGAAATCTTAACACTGCTGTTCTTAGAACAGCTCTTTGTAGATTCCAATTTTACATATGTGTTTAGCTCAGAACGTATAGGAAAGGCTTAATTCTGAAGAAAAAAACTGATTAACATTGCCAGAATTACAACTTATGACCCTTATTCTTTTGAGGGAATTTAGAGTGACCATATATTGTTCAAACTGGGACCACTGTGAGTGAAAGAGGGAACAATTAATAATTATACCAAGAAATAAGAGGGGGCTGCGTCGGGCTGTAGGAGAGGATGGCGGTCTCCACAGGAGTTAAAGTTCCTCGTAATTTTTGCTTGTTGGAAGAATTTGAATAAGGACAAAAAGGAGTAGGCGATGGTACAGTTAGCTGGGGCCTTGAAGAAGATAAAGACATGACACTTACGAGGTGGACAGGCATGATCACTGGGCCACCAAGGACAAATTATGAAAACAGAATATATAGCCTGAAAGTAGAACGTGGACCTAAATACCCAGAAGCTCCTCCATCAGTTAGATTTGTAACAAAAATTAATATGAATGAAATAAATAATTCCAGTGGAATGGGGATGCATGCAGCATACCAGTGTTAGCAAAATGGCAAAATTCGTATAGTATTAAAGTTGTACTTCAAGAGCTAAGACGTCTAATGATGTCCAAAGAAAATATGAAGCTTCCACAACCACCAGAAGGACAAACATACAACAGGTAGTTTTAGTGGATCTCAAACTTGTCTTAAATCAACAACCTTCTACTCATACTAATGTCTTGATTAAATATCACAATGCAAAATACCCACACATTAAGTAAAAGAATTCCAGCTGACAAACATGACCTGGACATTTGTCAAAATATATTTAATAAATGTTCGCCCATTATGTTTTCAGTTAACAGGAAAAATGCAGCACAATTGTTCTTTCTCTTGTTGAGGCCCTGTCATTTAAACGTGAACCTGGAGTATTTCACATAGGTTCAGGTTTACAAGACGAAAGCACCGGAAGAATTGTCAGGTGTCAGTGGAAACGGGTGTTTCTGAAAAGTAAAATCTCAAGAAGGAAAAACAAATGACATGCTTATCCATCTCACTTAGTGAAAGCTGCAGCTTGAAATTGTTCAAAGTAGCAGGTAAAATGAATATTGTCACAAACTGTGTTAATCTTTGAAGCAGTGTGGGTGCTGACTACTAGTAGTATCAAAAATACGTTCACGATTGTTTTGATACCTGTATTTATAATAAAAAAGTTTGGGGAGGGTGGATGAATTTCTGTCAAAAGCTGTTTCTGTGTTACATGTAACAGACATGGTAAATATTTGTTTACAGTCTTTGTTAAATAAACCATGCATTTAAGTTTAGGTGAAATCAACAAAAGGAAATAGGTGTATGGATATGTGATTTTGAGATTAGTCTTAAAATGTAAATAAAATGTAGAATGTGTCCTGGGGGGGGGGGGAGAAACAAGAAACAAGAGGTAAACAGTGTTAAATGAAGACATATTATCCTTGGTATTTCTCAGTCTCTGTGATCAAAATACACCCTCAGCAGGGCTGGGACTTGGGACCTTGTGCTTCCAAAGCAGGCACTTAAGCCACTGAGCTATATCCCTCGCCCCATGCCTTTTTGTAATATAGGGAAACTCTACTACCTATCTACACTGAAACCACAAGTTGCTGTTGATTGTCTTTTACTGAGACAGGGTCTGGCCTGAAGGCTGGCCTTGAGCTCACTTTGTAGTCCAGGCTGGTCTCAAATTTGAAATAATCCTCCTGTCTCAGCCTCCCCAGTGCTGAGATGACAGGTGTGTGTCACCACACCCAGCTGGAAACCACAAGATTTTAAAAAAGATTCTCAAGATATGTCACAATTCTGTTTTTGATTTCTTCAAATGCCAAAGCTAGGGGTTCAAACAGAAAAAGTAGCAGTTTTCTTTGATGTTCAACACCCTACTTCAGCAAACATTGGCATCTACATTCCTGCTGAAGCTTCTCAAAAACTAAGTAACAGAATGGTCAAGAAACTTTTTTTTTTTTTGGTACAGGAATGAAACTCAGGGCCAGACAGGCACTATGTCACTGAACTACACCCCCAGCTAAAGAAGCATCTAAATGAGTGAACTGTGATGAAAACAAACATGAAGCCAAGTGTGGTGGCACACACCTGTAATCCCAGCATTCAGGAAGCTGAGGCAGGAGGATTGCCATGAGCTTGAAGCCAGCCTGAACATGGTGAGACCTTGTCTCAAAATGAAACAAAACAAAACTGAAACAACTCCCCCCGAAAACAAGTATGAAAAACAATCTAGGCTGCTAGATAGCTGTTGAAAGGCTGACAGGAAATTTAGCTACTAAAAATACAGGTAAAGTAAGCCTAGAACATGCCCACTAAATGGGAGAATGAAAGATACGGAGAAATGGCCTCTTAGGCTGTGCTTCTTATTCTCCATTGGTAGTTTGCGTTCTGCATCAGAAGCAGGCACCTCAGAATGTCAAACAACCATCAGACTATGGCTGTGGTTTGGAAGTTGAAATGAGAAGGGCTGAAGCCAGGCCCTAGCCAGTGGCGAGGCAGTGACATCTGCTGTTCACTTCTGGAATGAGTAACTCTTCCCTTCTAGGGAGCAGCAGGGGCGCCAGATAACTCAGTAATAGTCATCCATTCCAGATGAACTTATCATTAAAGGAAATGTAAATTCTCTTGCAAACCAGCACCACAGGCATGTTCATCCTCTTGATCTGATTGTACACTGGGCATGGGCTTCACTTAGAAGTGCCTGGAAAGGTGGGTCAGGGGGTTTACATTCAATACTCACAGTTAAACTACTAAAGCAACAGGACAATCCTTCTAGAAAAATCCAATGGCAGGCAGCATGTGGGGGTCCTGCCTCCCATCTATTTTCTTTTCTTCTTCTTCTTTTTTTTTTTGGCGGAACCAGGGATTGAACTCAGGACCTTACTTGAGCTATCTCCCTGGCCCTATTTTTTTTTTTTTTTTTTTTTTAAATGGTACTAGGAATTGAGCTCAGGACCTTGTGCTTGCCAAGCAGGCACTTGTGCCACTGTGCTGTATCACTGGCTCCCATCTAGCTTTTGAGCCCGAGGCAGCATTCCATCACTCTGCTGTTCATTTTCCAAATGGGTATGTCCTCTCTTATAGTACCATCATTCCTACTTGTCTTTCACCAGTCTTTTCAAAAATCCTGTTCTAGCTGGGGAGATAGCTCAGTAGAATAAAGGCCTGCCTGGCAAGCACAGGGTCCTGAGTTCAATATCTGGTACTGCCAAAAAAAAAAAAAAAAAAAAAACCTTCAAAATTCCTGTTCTAGGTAGATGATAGTTCATTAAACTACATTATGGGGGAGATGCTTTATTCTCTGAGCTCAGAAAACAAGAGGCTGTGTGAGAATGGACCATCTCTTAAAAGTCCAACATTATCAGGAAATGGGATTAATGCTATTTCTTCCCCAGACTTTGAGACTGAAAGCTTATGTAACTCACTGGTCCTAGCACACTGAAGCCACCACCTCTCCTGGCCTCAGTTGTTGCTCTGATTCTATATAGAAGCTGTGAAAAGAAAAGTCATTTGAAAAGCCAGTTATATATAAATTTCCTTTTGTAGATATATGTCATAAATTACTAAAAAAGAACATTATGCCTTAAGCTCAAGAGTACAAGTACAGAATAAAAGCAGTGTGTTTTTTACGTGGACCCCATGCCCATAATCTTAACAAAACATACTGATGTACAAAGACATCTCAGATCATGGTAAGAATGCTTTATAACAGCCGGCCAATGGCTCAGTGGATTAAAGCACCCACAAGCAGGTGCAGGGACCAGGGGTTCGATCCCCGAGTCCCGCTGCACCGGCCTGGCCCAGCCCCTGGGGTGCGCTGAGATGGCAATTGAGACTGGGCATGGTGACGCATGCCTGTAATCCCAGCTCATGGGAGGCTGTAAACAGGTGCATCACTACAAGTCTGACTGAGTAGTGTAGACCCTTCCCTAAAATACTAAAAAAATTTTAAAAATGCTTTATAGGGCCTGGGAGATGGCTCAGTGGAATAAGCACTTCCTTGGCAAGTGCAAGGGCCTGAGTTCAATCCCTGGTTCCGGAAAAAAAAAAACAAACTTTATAAGTCTGCACACATCTGAAAGTTAACATTATAGGTGAAATCATAGCATAATAAGCATAAACATTACCAATTTCTACAGTAAAACAGAACTATTAAAAATCAATGTAGGAAAAACAAACAAAAATCAATGTAGGAGAAAAAAAAATCAGTGTAGGAGGGCTGGCCAGACAGCTCAGTGGACTAAAGCACCTGCTCAGGCAGGGTGCAGGGGCCCAGGTTTGATCCCCTGCATGCAGTGTAGGCCCCACCCCCAGGGTGCACTGAGAAGGGGAACTGAGACTGGACATGGTGACATGTGTCCAGTAATCCCAGCACTTGGGAGGCTGAAAACAGGAGAATCACTATGAGTCTGATCTATGTAGTAA